TGGGAACAACTTCTTCTCTTTTATCCATTTGATATGATGGCAATTAAATTTGTAGCTGATACATATTTTTACATTGGTGATCGACCTATGCTTCGTGATTCAATTGCACGAATATTACCCATATGGGAAACATCATCAGATCGCCCATTAAAATCTTATTTATATGGAATGTATGCATTTGGTTTAGGTGAAACAAATATGATTGAACGAGCGGAAAAAGAAGCTCGATATGGTTTAGAATTAAATCCATATGATGGTTGGGCAACACATGCAATAGCACATGCTGTTGAATATGCTGGAGATACGTCGAAAGGAATTGATTTTCTAAAGAAAACTAATCAAGATTGGGGAAAATGTGATGTTATTAAACCACATATTGATTGGCATTGGGCTTTATATGAATTAGAACAAGGCAATAGAGAAATAACTGAAGATATCTTAATAAATCGTGTATTAAATAAAGATGGTGAAATGATTATGTTAGATTTCGTTGATATGGCAGCACTTATTTATCGTCTTAAACTTGCTGGACAAAAAGCTTCAACTGTTTATTCATCAACTCGATTAAAAAAATTTTTACTTGATCATTTACATGATCATACATTAATATTTAATGATCTTCATATTTATTTTATATTAGATGATTATGCAGATGCAGAAGATCGAAATAATTTTCTTCGTACATTAAAAGAGGCATATGATACATCAGATTCTGATAATGGTCATGTTTATCGTCAAGTAGGGAAATATATATTTCAAGCTATGGATCAATTTAAAGAAAAAAATTATTCCGATGTTGTTGAACTTCTTTATCCAATACGAAATAAGATTTATCAGATTGGTGGATCGAATGCACAACGTGATCTGTTTTATTTATTATTAATACATTCGGCTGTTCATTCTAACAATAATCAACATCAAAAATTAGCTAAGCGATTAATTAATGAACGATGTTTAATGCGTAATAAAACAAACTCAAAATTGATGGAAAATTATGCTAATGCCATACTTAATGATTAATTAAATACAAATGAATGATTTACGAAAAAAAACTAAGATTAGAGTACTGGGTTTTCTTTTTAATAAAACATTTAACAATATTTATCTTTCATCAATAGGAATACTATGAAAAAATTCAAGTCATATTTCTCAGCAATTGGGTAGAAGTTTTAAGTTAATGTTTGATTTTGATACGAAATAGCTCTAAATATGTCTATATTGATGGATATTTACTAGTTAGCTTGAGTAAAAAATAAGTATGTCTCAATGATCAAAAGTGTAGCTCTGGATATTGAACTCACACTTTCGTGTCATACACCGAAAGAAATTTCTGTTAAGAAACCTACAAAAGGTTTATCGCACGGATACAAACTCAAAACCGTTTTTTAGTTTCGTATCAAACTCAACAAAACTTCCATAAGAAAAGCACAAAACATGCTTCACTCGACAAATCTTTCAAAAGGTTTCGTTTTTTTCGTACGGAATCGTCTTAGGTTGCATAGCAGAAATTTTTTAGGGTGTACGCAAGGAGGGAGTTGGATCATGCTGAATTAGTTTATTATGGTCATGAAAAATTAGGAAGCTATCAGACGTTAAATCTGATCTGAAGTTTAAGTTTTCCACCTCGAAACTTCAAGCGCACCTTTTGGTATTACTTTTTACCTACTGTTAGAAACTCTGAATAGGTAGTGGTTGTAAGTTCATAATTTTATTGGAAAAATATTAGAAACGATTTTCTCCTGTTGTAAAAGTTACACCAACTAATAGTCTCATGTAACTATGAAAATATGTACATATTAAGAAGCCTAAAAATATTATTTTTAGCATAAAAAACCGAAGTTTGTATCTCATATTATGATGTTATTGCTTGTATGAGCTTTTTATGAATCGGCAAGCTTTTCCGTTGTGTTGAGGTTAAATAATAATTTCAAATAGAACAACATCAAACTTATTAGCTTTTCAACGGATACTATATCTCTATTAAAGAAAGTCATGCAAACAAAACCTAGATCTTGTTTAATATCAGTTGATGTAAGTGACTAAGTCAAAAGTTCTGAACGAGTTCTTCATTCGTTTCTATATTAGTATATATGAAACGGGCTAGAATAAATTAGAAGTTAGTTCTATTAGAAACGTCAAAACTTAGGTCTATTTCATCTTTTATGTCTTCGTAGAACTGTAGTCTTTTTCTCAAAAAAAAAAATCTAGTTCATAAATTGATATATTAAACGGGCTAGCTTTTCATCGGTTAAATCAAGGATTTCAACTGAATGGTCTGATTAAAAAAAAAACTCGAACGGTTCCAAGTATGATTTGCTGTGGGAATAGAACATCAACGAAGAACAAAGTTTCATTCGAAATTCGAAATCTTATTTGTTTGTCACTCAGAGTTTTGATGCTTGCTAACATTAATTTTTTCTAGACAAATTCTCAGCTTGGATAAAGTCATTGGAAGTGAACAAAAAAATAGCTCAGCAACATTATATGTTAGCCATAAGTAAAGACATGAAAGAATAAAAAATGTTCACAAAATGTCGATTTAATCACTTCCTAAATAATTCTCATTCACATTTTTCCTTACTTAAAGAATTGTGATATGAATGATATTCCTAATATTGCATCGTCGTTTACGATAACAAGCTTAAAAATATACTGTTTTGTTAGATCAAAATTATCAAAGAATGATGAAAGAAAAAGGAAAATTAGTAAATCATAGACAGAAAGCCTTATCAATTTTTCATAGTCCAACAAAAATTTGTTAGTTAAAGATCGTCTCTAATAATCGAGTAAGTATCAAAAGACAAAGATATTTCTCTAGATATTTTCCATGCAAACAAAACATTTTTGTTTAGTGCATTTTCGAATTTTTTTAGCAATATATGTAATTAACATAAATTATATTTGAGATTTGAGATAATACAACTGTTTTGTAGTCATTTGATTTGATTGCCATGCTATTCGAAGTATAAAATCCAATGAATAATTTGTATTCCATTGAGTTCGTTTACGTAATATCTCATCGTATGAACCATTTTTAAAGAAAAATTTCGAAAACATTTGGTTAGTCTAAAACATGGAAAATCTAATTAATTATCAATGAGACAAATTGAAAGAAAAAAACAATACGAACATGCCAAGCATGAATATGTATAATTTCAACTTCATGAAAAGATGTATTTGTTGTACAACTATAATCAATTAAATATGGTTTTTGTATTAATTTTATTTGTCCATGTCCAGCATAATGATTTATTGCTAAATGACTGGCATACATGGATACAACCTATTTTAAATTATTAAAACAAAGTCATCAAATTGATTAACTTACTCCAATATACCATTGTGGCCAAGAGAGTATTGATAATCTTTGATCTTTTTCTACTAAGGTAAATTCATTCTGACATAACCATACACTTAACCAAAGAGCTAAACGTCCAACTAAAACAATTTGTTGTGGTGGCCCATACCTTAAGATCGACATAAATGATAAAAATTAAGCAAAGAAAAAGAATTTTTTTTTCTAACCATGTTGATCCAATATGTGTTAAATTGACGTCTAATAAATTCAATGTTTGAGCAATACGAGAGAGTTTATTTAATGTATAATCAAGACTATAACCACCAAGACCTATTTATGAATGTAAGAGTAAATAGAAAGTTTTTGAGAATAAAATGTATTAACAAAAACTAAACCTATTTGAAACGAACAATCAAATGGAATATAATGAGCAAAATGTGGTGTTAAAAAAACATCTAAATCTGTTCGTAAAATGTAATCATATTGATTTAGAAAATCAGAGTTTTCAAGTAAAATTCCTAATGAATCAAGATGACGACACCATTTTGGTACATAAATTTGAATTAATCTTAATAATTTATTATTATTTTTTATTTTATCCCATAAGGAATTATAATTAATTCTAAAGCAATTATTTTTTGTTGCTTTGTTATTGTATTCATAACAACCTAATTCATCTAATAATGATGAAGGTAAAGAATAAATAAGGATATCAGTTTGCCAATCGATAGGTTGATTTTTGATGATTTCAATCCATGAAAGATATAACCATTTCAATTCTGATATATAAACTGATGAACGTTCAACAGGAAAATGAACGATTATTGCTCGACGAATATTTTTCTTTTCAGTTTTTGTAAAACAATATTTTGGTGTCACATGCAAATTATCTTCATGATGAATTTCATCAAATAAATTGGAATGAGAAGAAGAATATGTTGAATAAGGATAATGAATAAATATGTATAATAATATTAAAATAAATAGAAATATGAAAAAACTTCGCCTTCTTCGACGAATCATTTTTTTTTTATTTATTAGAACATAAATGTTATACATTTACATATATTACAAAAAAAATCAGCAGGAAGTCAAGAATCTCATTACTTTTTCAATATGTTTAAAAAATAAGAAAAGAATATAACAGAAGAATTATGATAAAGGATTCATGATCGAATTAATTGTTCGCAGTTTTATTAGGCTTTATTGGATATTATGTATAATGATCAAGAGATGTTCACAAAATGTACTAAATGATTTCGACGATCATTTTATTTAATTGTTTTCTATCATCTTCATTTGAACTTACATCTATAGATGAAGACTCTGAATATCAGTTGGTACAGCCTTTGACAGTTTATTTTTCAATTTTTGACGCTCTAAAACTGTAAAAAAATGTTCTTTTTGAAGATGAAAAATTAATGTTCAAAGTTGCAGACTATAAATATTTGACCGTATCATGGTCTATACCCTAACCTGCTCTATGAATACCTGTAATAGTTATTTAAATAATCACTTGTTATGCAGAAAAGGAAATGCAAAAAAGCAGCAGAATATTGATCGATACACAATTACATTGGAAAGAAGTTCATGTATTAATATAGACATAAATTCTTTCATTTTTTGTTCTAATACTTAATTTTAAAAGGACAATCACCTTCTCATACTTTAAATATTGAATCATGTTTTATCTTTTTCTTCGATGCTTCTTGAAAGAATAGCATAGTTTGTTAAAGAACTGACAGACAATGATATGCTGTCATTAACAAAACACATACTTTCGTTTTATAAGACTTGAGACAGTATAAGCAAAAACAAAAGCGATATCTATTGAGTAAATTCTCACATGTAACAAGGTTAACTATCTTGAAATCACAGACAGATGGCGTACATAAACAAGCAATAAAATAATAAAATGAGTTTTTTACAAAAACGAATGACTAAAATAATTTTATTTATCTATAATCTTTATTCTAAAATACAATCTTATTTGCTTCACATTAATACTAATAATCTGTTTTTATGTCCATTGCCATGCAACCAACGATTTATTGAATATTTTTCTAGTTGCCATCAATAGTCCACAACAACAGCGGAGAAATTAAAATCCTCTTAGCATTTGTCATTCTATCGTTGTTGCGGTTGTAACACAAACAAAATACATCTATTCATTTAAAATCGATCACGAGCATATTAAGAATGTTATTTTTTTTTCTAGTTCTTCATTTTCTTTTTAGATGTCTATTTATTAGAATAGAAAAAAGAACGATTGTATTCACTTGTGTTACCATTATTTCTCTTTCTCTATTGTCATTGTTCTGATTAATATACAATTAAATTCTTATAAATAATTAATAACAATGACTAAATTATGCATCTGTCAAATTTGCACATGCGGGTAGGCTTATATTTTTATATAATATAACTGAGGAAAAATAAAATCTAACGTTAATTGAGGAGTAAAGAACAACGTTCGAAACTATGTCATATATTTCATGATGGTTTTTTTTCTTCAAACAAAAATACCAGCTGTTGCATATTCTATTTAGGAAACATCGTTGTCCACATCGTCCTTATGGTATTATTGGTAAAGGCGATCAACCATGTGCGGTAACTGAATATCGTTCAGAATTTATTCCTCGTGAAGGTGGTGTACGAGAATCATTTAAACCTGATTATAAATTACAGACAAGTACAGCACCTTTAGATGATCAAACAACACATAAGTAATTGAATAATTGAATAGAAATCTAATAGTAAATAAATTATTTAGACATGATTTCATAAGATATGCTCTTGATAAACAACGTTCATATAAGCCGGAAGAAGTTTATACTCCTCGTGGAGAATTTGATTCTTTAACTAGTTATAATAAAGAATATACACGTAAGATAGATAAATATAAATATAATTTCTTAAGTTATATTTGTATATGAATTTAGCCAAAGATGGTGAACGGGCTAGACCGATTAGACATGATGGTCAACGAACAATATCAGCTCCATTTGAAGGCGATCCAACATATCGAAGTATGATGTCTAAATCTTATTTATTTAAGTTATTATTTATTATTATTCGTTCTATAGCTGATTATCGTAAATGGGAAACAGGACGAACTGAACCAATTCGACATGATGCTGGATATGTAAGATTATTTAAAAACAAAAAACAAAAATTTTTCTCATCGTCTTTTTTTGTTGTCTCTATCGAAGGTTCCCCCATCGGATCCCTTTCGAGGTGAAAGTACATATACAACTGATTATTTAAAACATCAAGCAGCAATGCGTCAACCTATTCGACCTGATCAATCGGTTTTACAATCGAAAGATCCATTTGATGATCGTACTGGTTATCGTACAGATTATATACCACATCCACAACAAGAACGTTTTCAACGTGCAAAAGAACAATATATTCCAAATCAAGTAGCTTTAGATTCATTAACAACACATCGAAGAGATTTTACACCAAAAGATGGTACAAAATAAAACAATCATTAGAAAAATATTTTTATTATTATTATTTTAGCTGATCGAACACGTTCAATGAAACCTGATTTACAAGGTTATCGATCAAATGCTCCATTTGATGATGCAACAACAAATAAAACAGATTATAAACCTTGGGAAGTTCAACCCATACAAACACATAGACCAGATGAATATCGTGCAAATCCTGCTGAAATGGATTTAAATACAATGTATAATTCAGAATTCACACCAAAACCATTATCAAAAGTATCAGCTATTAAACCAACTGAAAGACGTGGAACTGATGCAAAATTTGATGGCAATACAACTTATTTAGGTGATTATAGAAAATGGCCTGGAGGGCGACCACCAGCTATACGATCCCAAGCTGGTTATGAACCTCCAAGTATGCCATTCGAAGGATTATCAACATATAAAGGTAAAATAACAATTTAAAAAAATATTTATTATTTGAATTTTATTTCTTAGGTCATTATATTCCACATGATTCTGGACCACAACGATCATTTAAACCTGATAATACTGCTTATAGATCAAATGTTCCATTTGATGATGCGACTATGTATAGAACAGAATATACACCAAAAGAAATTCAAGCATGTCCAGCTGCTCTTCTTGAGTAAATTTCTTTGTTTTTCTTTTCTTTTCATTTTTCTTTAATATTGATGTTTTTCTATCAATGTAGTACACCAAGAAGTAATTTTGTACTCCATCATACGGAAGAAACAGGTCATAAATTTTATCAACCACAACATGAATTATTTCAAACTCAATATCAACAACAACAACCTCCTATTGCCGTTTAATATAAAGCATTTAGCAGCTTATTTTATAGTGAAAGACAAAAACAACAACGAGTTGTTGTCATATTATTATTTTTTAATTATTTTTTCCCTTTCTTGTCGATTATTCATTAATTCTTTATTTGGAAAAGTATTATTTAAATTATTCCATGACGTTCTTTACCTAGCCCTAAATCTATTTTTATTGAGAAATACATATTTCAAAAAAAAAAAAGAAAAGAAAAACATATTTGTCTTCTTTTTTGTTGAATACGTTAAAAGACATAGTAACAATCGTTTAATGAGTGAAGCGTTATAAAAACCAATGGAAGCCATTGAAAGATTACATCGAAAAGCTTTGCTTTCATCATTATAATTTCGTATCCATTCGTCTCAGTGTTTTTCTTATATAAAAAAAAGAAGATTTTTGACTGTCATCAAATTGTTAGAAACTCTATTAAAATTTCTATGATGAAAATATCAAATGTACTATTAAACATGGTCAAAAATTGTAATTCAATATTGTTCTTCAGTACATGTAAATTATATTCCTATATATTCTATTACAAGTCTTGATTTCTTTGTATAACATGGAAGAAATATGAAATTTTAAATGACATCTTTCAAGGAAATAACATGTTCCATATTAAATTTACTCATGAAATATCTATAGAAAGGAACAAGATATATGTAAAGCTGTATTGTCAATACTAATATTTACCTGTCATAAAAACCTCACGATTTATGACCAGTTTCTTATCGTCAACAATACACTGATCAAATTAATGATTACAATTTTGTGTTCGTCAATTCTTTTTTCTCCTACTGACAAAATAGTTTCAGTATTGTCTGAAGAACGAGACTAATAGAACTAGAAAATTCTCAAGAACATTCATCATGTACGAATGATAATGATCATTTCGGAATAAGTTTAAATTAAGTACGTAAGTCTACCAACATAGTTTCGATATATCTCTTGCTCAATGAATTATGAATTGCAAAGAGTCGCAAAAAATTGTTTAGAAAATAAGTTCATCGCTCTATTCTTTTTATACAGGACAATTAATCAAAAATTAGTTTCTATAATATGAATAAAAATGAATGAGAACATATCTAGTTTGATTCTGATTGCAATTCTAGTTGTGGTTTGTCATGAGATCACTACATCATAATTCGATCCTTATTAATCTTAGCAAAAGAATTAATACTTTAGGACAAACATCTCTTTTCAGCAAATCTTGATCCTTCTATTGTAGTATGACTTATATCTCATCTATACTCTTATGAATAATGACTAAATTTTAGTATGCATACAACTGAAGATTCTATAGAAATTAAGAATAAAATCATCTCAAACTATTATTTTATGAACGAGCACTACCTATCATTAAAAAGTACTCCGTTACACATTTCTTTTATGAAACTTTTGTATATTTTTGAAGAAATTAGTGAGTATAAGTTTTAAATTGAAGTATTACGGTTTTTCTTCTTTGCATTACAGGCTATAGCAACTTAGAATAATTAACATCAAACTCCTTTCTCAAAGTTTTCTAGCAACGAGAGAAAAGATGCTAAACGACATTAACGTTAAGACTTAGACTATTCTTTAGAATCCTAAAATATTCCTCGTAATTTAAATGGTTGGATTAACTTTGTGAATGTTTTAAATAGTGAAGTTTTTGATATTTACTCAGATAAAAATTTATATTCAAGCTGACAAAGATGATAGATAATGATGCATTCATTTGTCACAGTCATCATATGATCAGTATTATAAAAAAGTGTGAATTGATCAAGATATGGAGTAGAACGCTAAAGCCTGCTACTCCAGACATAATGGATATTTACAAAAGCCTTATTTGTCATTTGATTCAATGTTTATAATAATAGTAATGTTGAATAAAGAAAAACAAAATCCATCAAAGAGAAATAACAAGCAAATAGCAACCATGCAAATAAAACATAGTACGCCCAAAGAAAAAGAAAAAAAGAAAGTTCTGTTCAAATGCAGTAATAATTCAAACAGATTCTTATTTTGGTAATCAATTATTTTGGCGAGCAGCTATAGCCTATGAGAGATTTTTCACTTTACGTATTTTGTATTAGTTTTAAAAGGCTAAAGAATATTTGTGAGTTTCACACTTGAACTCTAAACAAGCTGTGCTAATAAGCAATTGTTTTATTATCAGGGTAATTTCATATATTCTATCAAAATAATAATAAGACAATGATGATAATTATAACTATAGTTGAAATCTCTGAAGAGAGGAGAAGATCGATACGATAACAAGAATTCGCAAAACATGATGAAAGAAATGGCACATATACTATCAGCCAATTTTTTTTTTGTATCTTGGATAATGTTAGGATATTAAGACTTCTGACACAAGCTATGAAATATTCAGTGTTAGTAAAACAAAATCATGGTTTCTAGAGCAAGGCGACTTCCATATAAAGTATGTAAAAACGGCAGCTAGTATTTTTAGATTCTGATCATTAAAACTTGGTTTTTATTTTAGATAAGCATGATTTTCAAAATCAATATGCAAAAATACATCGAACACTCAACATTTCATCATAAAGTATCTTTGCTGAAAAATTTTTAGCTTTACTTCACCTCAGCTTTTTATTCATAAAATTTTAGACTGTATCCTCTACGGGTGAAATTTGATTGACAGTCTTCTGCAATGAAAGATACATTTTTTCCATACTGGCTCCAAAAAACTATATTTGTTTTTAATATTTGTTATTTCATATCATCGCACCATTCACAGTCCGAAAAAAGAAAAAGTAACGAAAGGATTTAACTAATGGAAAATGCACCATTTCCTTTTGTTTCTTAATATCTCTAAATATGATATACTACAATGAAATTTGTGCTAGGTATAAATTCTGAAAAGCATAAAAACTATGTCTGGTTGATATAAATCAATATTATTTATTGAAAAGAAGAGACAAGAGAAACAGAAAAAAAAGAATCTCTTCGTCAAAAAAAAACATCTCTTCTTTTTTATACAATATCATAAACAAACAACGTTACACACAAAAAAATGTACAATGAACAAAATCTGACATAAAATAGGAAGCATTATATTTGATCATATATACAAAAAAAAACAAAGAACTATCGACAAATATCTAACATAATAAAGCCAGAATATTTTTTTAATATTATAGAACAAGAAAAAGACTAGTTATTATATCTGATTGAATGCAATTATTATTTCATAGTAACTATTTTCGGTTTTACATGTGTTGATGTTAAATTTGTATGCTTATGTGTTAATTTCTTTTTATCATCAATAATAACATTTGGTTTAATTTTTACTTTTGATGATGGTGGTTTATTTGTTGATATTGATGAACATGTTGATGATGTTGATCTAAAATGCATTCGTAATCAACGAAAATGAACTACAAAAAAGAAAAGTTTCTTAGCACAGCTTTTTTCGGGCTGAAATATGGGGTTCATATGTGTTCTTTAACTTCATTCTACTAATACGACATAGTTAAAGTGAAAAATCTTTAGTAGACTATAGTTGTTCTCCGACATAATCGAACGCCAGAGAAACAATCTGCCTTATTTCTAACAGAACTTTTTCCTAGTTTTTGTTTGAGTTATTGCTTATTCTAATCGTTGATCTTACGGGCAAGTCAGCCTGTTATATATATTTGTTAAATCTTTATTGACGGAAAATCACGTTTCCTTGAGAGAGTATGACCAAAGTTTGTAGGGATCAAAGAATCCGAATCTATAATCGATTTCTCAGTCAAGTGTTCGAAAATAACCTTGGTAGCACTGAGAAATCAAGTATACAATTTGAAGAGATCGACTACAGATTTGAATTCCTTGATCTCGAACATCTTCGATCAACCTTTATATATTTTTCAAAATAGCCTTTTCATGATAAACTCACGAATTTTCCATCATCTGAGGACAGGCAACTGGTAACGTACAAATAACTTCTTAACTCTAATACTGATTGTTATTATTAGGTAGGCAGATCTTCTCTATAACTCAAATGAAAATAAAGAGTAATTGTAAATGTTCGCAGAGACTTATCGAAGAGAAAAATTGGTGATATTAAGTGCTTCAATTGTTCCGAATGATTCCATGTGACTCTAATACCACATAATCAGCTTTTCTCTGTTGGTTTAGAGGCTTTTTTCGTCGCTAAAGAACTCTAGTAAAAGAGTCTAATGCTTGTTGTATTCGTAAGAAATCATAACGTTAACTTACTTATTCAAATTTGTAGTAACAAATGGTGTTGAACAGAGTGGTCCTCGTGCATTCGAAACTTTTTTACTCGATCTGCATTCAGATAGAAAATTTATTCAAGAAAAAAAAACGAAAGAAAGTATAATACTTTGATCGATTCGTTTCATTATTTGTATCTTTTGAAATTACATTGTTAGTAGTTCTTGATCGATCAGCTGATAACAGACGAATGAAATAAATTAAAATTTGAAAAATATGATTAATTTTTACTTGATATATCTTTTATTGGCATTCGACCAGTAGCTAAAGAAGATTTCGCTGTTAAATGTTTCTAAAAATTATATCAACAAAAATAATTAAGTCTTCTTTTCATTATCTAATCTAACCTGTTGTTGAATACTTCTCATATTCTCCATTTCTTCATGAAGTTTTCTAAAAAATCAATAAATTTTATTATGCATTTTATTTTAATCACAGAAATTAGTTTATACGTTATGATTGTTTCATTCTCAATTAGTTTATTATTCATTTCTTCTTTAATTAATTGATATTCAGCTACAATCTGAATAAATTTTTAAAAACAAAAACCATAGAATTTTTCTTTAGTTAAATTTTAATAAAAATTACTTTATCAAGTGTTTCTTTTTCTAATAATAACATCATATGATTATTTCGAAGATTATCAAGTTCGAGATTCTAAATATGAAATATATTAAATAAAAAAATGATAAGAAATTCATTTACAGCTTGAAAGAATAGTTGTTCTTTATCAGCCAAAGCTGCGTTGAATTGTTCACGTTGTAAA